CCGCTTTCCAGACATTCACTAAACTCAACCTAGGGCATATCCAGAAGTCGGTACAGTACAGAGCTTCCTTTCAATCGTAGGGGGAAAATCCCGTTTACAATTTCTCTTAGGCAGATGGAAGAAGTAGCTGGTGACGGGACTTTGGAGGGGTGCATAGGAATGGCATGGGGTGTTGGTGGCAGGGAATCGCGATTTCTCTTAGGTCTCCCGGCTTCAGGTAAGGTTCTCAGATTCCAGTTGCCCTCCTGCAGAGCTGCAGCGGTGGGTGGGAGTGGAGGGTGCTCCTCGGGTGATCAGCTGGGAGAGGAGGAGGGTGGAAGTGGGGATGGACCCTGGACAGGCTTCACGGACACACATTGTCTTGATTGGTGTTCGTGCCTGCTCTGTGCCACTGCCTTGGGGAGCTTTTGAACAAGGTGATATGCGCCAAGCTTTTCTTCCCCTTTTCCCTCCCCCCTTCTATGATGTGTTTAGAAAGAAGTCAGTACCCTTCTAAAATAAGTTAAAAATCTTTCTCTGACTTTCCGTTTAAGATGTCAAAAGGATTAAATAAATGAAACTTTATTTGACCGGGAAGTTTACCCATCTCTGGTCTCTGGCCTTATTCTAATTCCATGGTGGTAATTACCCTTCGTTTCTTTAAGTGCAATAGATTTATTGCCTTAGAGACTATGCACAGTTTGATTGAATTATTCATTTTTTTTCTTTGGTGTAGACTGCATCTGGGGACTCTGATGTGACGTGTAGATTTTTTTTTCAGGAACAAAGGGAATGTGGAAATGAAAGAGAGAGGGAGAGAGAGGCTGGCAGATGTAATGAGACGCGGTGAAGGTGTACGCAGACTGGCACTCCCACTCCTCCCTTCTGCTCTCACTGCAGCCCTGGGTAACTCGCAGGCTAACACAAACAGCTTTTCTCCCGCAGCCTGCCCTCTGTCACTGTAAGTACAGCAGCCTTCTCTTATCAGCATGCAGATTCCAACCACGCACTCCCCCAGCCTTGGCTTTGCACCTTAGGCAGCAGAAGCACATTAGAAATTAACTTTCCTAAGCTAGGAAAGGCATGTCTGTAAAACTTATTTTTGATGTATCTTTATTTTTCTCAGGAAAAAAAAGTTCATGAATTTTTTACCACTTTTCCCCACCTCCTTTGTGGCGGTGCTCTCTGCTGCTGTCGCTGCGGTCGGTTGTGGTCTCCCCAACAGGATGACTGGCAGAGTCAAAGAAAATTTAATGTTATTCTCCATCCAGTTAAAGTCGAAGGACAATGCCTTGTCCTTTGCAAAATGACATCTTAAAGGACGCAGAGCATTGTTCACAATTTGCTTTCTGCTTTTGCTTCTGAAACATAAGTCCCGACCCCTTTGAGGCAGCGTCCCAAGGGCACTGGTATTTGGGAGTCCAGGTTATTTGGTTACTCCAAACTTAGGAGAAGTGCATTGCGCTGCTGGAGTGTTGGTGTGTTTGTTATCCCGTTTAAGGAAAGCAATTGCGAAAACTTTTGTCCATGCTGTAATTAAAGTTTTCAACTTCTTCTGTTTTACTCTTTCACTTGTCTTCGTTTCAGTACAAGTTCTCCTTTTGGGTGTTTTGGACTGAATGACATTTGTGTTTGTCCTATTCACACAGTACCTAGTTCTGAAGCCCTTCCTGAAAGAAGTTAGCGACCTTGCGATGAAGTTGTGTAGGTCTGAATTATGCGCCTGGCTGGTATAGGAGACTTTCAAAGCCGGAATTCGAGGTTTTAACGGCCGTTATGATTTTTGCGTAGGTGTTTTACATGTTAACTTCTTCAGCAGAATTAATTGCGTTGCCCTTCCCAAGTTCAGGGGGATCTCTCTCCAGGAACCTCTTGCGCTTTTCCTTTGCGAGTTCGTGCCTCTTCTCTGAAGGTGCGAGGCCAAACTTAGCAAAGCCGAGTAGCCCGTGCTGCTTGCGGAGCGCAGGGACACCAGACCGCGCAGAGGCGCAGAGGCGGCGAGGACCGCTTCGAAAGGTAAGTCGGCCCCACCCTCTCGCCCCTCCTTTCCTGCCTTCTTGCCCCGGAGTTCAGCACCCGGGGTTCCTTAGCCGCGCGAGTCTCCGACCCCCAGGGGAAGTGAGGTTGTACGCTCAGGCATCTGGCTGCCGAATGTCTGAGTGTCCTCTGCTCCTCTGGGGACTTCATCAGGAGCCCGCAGGCCGGGGTGGACCAAGTGACTGTCCTGCGCTGCAGCGGCTGCAAAGCTCTCCGCCTCGCCCACTGCTTAGTACAGCCTGCGCTGGGGCTGGAGGGAACCCTCGGCCAGCACTCCCGCCCCCAGAGCCACGTGTCAACCCGTGCACAGCTTGAAGTGCAGCACGGAGACCCCAAACTTCTGTTTCCTTCCGTTTAGAGATCAGTGTTCTGACCTGCTCCGGTTCCGTCGAAAGATCAACTTCGATATTACTTTATTAGTTAAAATCTAAAGAGAATTCTTGCTGCTCCTTTTCAGAAAGTCCGTCCTGGCTGGGTCTTGGACCACAGAGATCTTGATAATCTCTTCTTTTTCTTGCCTCCGGACAGCGGCCTGTGTCTGGTTGCCCGGGTCAGTCCTGCCTCCCAGAGCCCAGAGTACCTTGTGATTTAAAGAGGCTGACGCCCTAATCATTGGGAAACCAGACCTGTTTGCAATTGTAAAGACCCAGTAGGGCCCTAGTATTTCTGTCCCTGATGTTTCACCACTTTTGTGGCTCTTCCCTGAGGAATCAGGCTTGGAACATAACTTACCCCCTCTCTCTCTCAGGCTTTTAGGAAAGGTCATTCAATGTTAGCGTCTTTGGGCTTTGGAGAAGTTTTTTGTGGTTGAGTTCCAGGGCTGGTTACCACAGAGTGTGAGGCTCAGGAATCCAGAGCTGGGCCCAGTTGTGCCACAAGAGAGAGAGAGAGAGAGAGAGAGAGAGAGAGAGAGAGAGAGAGAGAGAGAGAGAGAGCTTGCACACACACATGCATGCGTGTACACACACACACACACACACACACACACACACACAGGAAAACTTAGTCTAGAAACACAGGTCTGGGCTTCTCCTTGGGCCTCAGAGGTCAAGGGGCAGCCTTACCCTGGGAGCCCAACTTTATAAAGGAGCTGGCCTGCAAGGTACCAGGGAGTACTGCTTGTCTTTAGGTTGTACAGACTTTCTGGCCCTGAAAATTGCAGTAGACACAAGACTTCTTGTCAGGAACTCTTTCTTTTCCCAACCAACAGTCATCAGGTCAGTTTAACTCAAACTGTCCAAGCTTCCAATCCTCAAGCATCATATTTCCCTGACAGAAACATCTGGCTATTCCTTCTGCCCCACTGATCCTAGGTATCCCTCATTACCCTTATTCCTGTCTTTTTCTTTCTCTTGTCTGGAGTTCATATGGTAGCAAATGGAGTATACATTAAGAAGCTAATATATGATTGACATCTCATTGTCTCCCTCTTCTTTGCTTGCTTACTCCCTCCATAACAAAGATGAGATTTTCTCCCTTTTATCCTCTGTCACTTAATCTATGGGAGATCTTCCTTATGTTAGCAATTTTAGATTGCCCGTACATTTTCTGGGGTTGTAAGCCACCATTCCTGACCTCTTTCTCCTGGTCTGTACATCCTTTCACAAAGTCTGTTTTATGAGGTGTCTCAAGGTAGCCATCTCAGATCAGCTTCCCCATAACAGAAGCCTTCAGAAATCTCTGTGGGTTAGGCTAGTTATGTCAGAACTTTTCTCCTAGCTTTTAATTTTGCTGTAGTTTTTTGACTCTCCACTGACCTCAGTTTCTCCAACCTAGTCTATTTCTTTGGGCCTAGGTTATTGCAGGCCAACCTTCACCCTTTGCATACCGCCTGTGGTTTGCTGCTGCTGTTTTCCAAGCTAATTTTCTCACCTCTTGTTTTGCATCTTAATTAATTGACACCATTATTCTTTCCCGTTCTGGTTCTCAGCTTTTTTCTCCCCAAGGAGATAAGTTTCCAGGTCTTTGCCCCTTTAGGCCATTTAAAACCCTTCAAATCTTTAATCTATCCTACACATTAATCAAAGGGAATCTTTAATTTGTATGGGTTTCAGGGGGATTATTAACATAGTTTTCTATATATGACTTATGCAATTTTATGTACTGTTTTAGGTAACTTGAAACTCCTCATCTTCTACAATCTTTAAATTACCTCTTTTCCTTTACAAATGTAAAGTAATACAGTATTTCATTTACTTACAATATTTCATGCAACACAGACTCATCCAACATTATAAATATGGGGATATTTTATTTATTGATGTAAAGATATAAAGTTTTCATTGGTAGAGTATACATGTCTTTTTATTTTTAAAAATTTAATTCATATACTCCATAATCCATATGGCTTTAGAACACTGCCACCTACATAAGTTAGGAGTCTGCTACGTCATTCCCTTTCCTTTGCATTTTTCCTTCTCCATGTTTTAAAATAAGTTTCTCTTTCCCCATTTTCTATTAACTGTTGTCTTCATGATTTCTGCTTCCTCCCTCTCTTTCTTTTCTCTCTTGATCATTTCTCTAATTTTCTTCCATCCTTTTTATTATTCCTCCGTATTCCCCCTTCTTTCCTTCTTTCTGGTGTTCTTGATTTGCGCCCTTCCCCTCTGGGTTTCTCCCATTGATTCACTTGTGGTCCAGTTCTCCATCCTAACATTCTACTTCCTAACATTCAGCCCAAGCCTCCTCCTGACTCCTAACTTTTCCAAAGCAAAGCTACCGTCCCGCATTCTCCTTTCCCATTTGACTTCCTTCCTTCTAGTGCGCGTTTTTCTCCCCAGCTGGCTACCTTTATTCCTTGCTTCAGTTTGCCTTCCTCTTGACTCCTCCTCCCAGAAGCCCCAGCCCTAATAGCGCTCTCCTCAGCCTGCCTCGCCTCCACCTAAGAATACTCGTCGCTATTTCGCTCTGACCCTGAGACTCCGTCTTTGTCTCCTTCAAGTTCTCTTCTAGTAGTCACTTTACTCTCCGTCCAGAGGCTCTCTAATCGACCTCCGGTCCGGCCGGTCTCTCTGCCCTCCTCTCCGCGGCTCTCTCTAGCCTCTGCCTCCCGCTCTCCCCTCCTTTCCCCCCTGCTCTCCCCCTCCCTCCAGCTTCCCCGCCCGGCTCGCTGCTCCCTCGCCTCTTGTCTCATCTTGCCTGTGTTGTCTGGGAGGGGAGCCCTGCCTCCTCTCCCTCTCTCAGATCAATGCCCTGGCCACTCACTTTCTGATGTTGCACGACGGGAAATGCTTTGAATACTTACGACATGGCCGCTCACACTGATTGCCAAGATTGACAGCACTAACCATCGCCTTCACTTGTTTCGGGGGGAAGCCCCTAGTCGCCCCGCTCCGCGCGCACCTCCTGGCACCCCCGCGGTAAACTTCAGCGGCTCCGCGCCGCCCCCGCCCCGCAGCGGGACACCCCCGCCGACTTGAGTTAACGGGCTGCGGGCCGCGGGGCTGGGGAGTTCTGCTCCCGTGCTCCCCGGGCCGTGCTAATTGACCTAGCGTCGACTCCCCTTCCTTTATTTTATTTTTTCATTTGTATGTTTCCCCTTTTCTTTAATGCCATTTACTCCCGCGGCGCAGCGCACAAGGAGCCCTCCCGTGCGGTACCATCCTGGAGTCCGCCCAGGTAACCGGGACGGAGCGAGCGATCTAGAGCGAGGGAGGCAGAGCTAGAGCTCGCGGCCCGCGTGTGCTCTACCTGTTGGGGAGCCGGAGGGGCCGGGGACAGGAGCCCAGGGCCGGGCCCCGGTGCCGTCCACTCCCGCCCTTCCGGGCAGCGCCGGGATTAGTTTCTCGGAGCTGGGTACCATCCTGGAGTCCGCCCAGGTAACCGGGACGGAGCGAGCGATCTAGAGCGAGGGAGGCAGAGCTAGAGCTCGCGGCCCGCGTGTGCTCTACCTGTTGGGGAGCCGGAGGGGCCGGGGACAGGAGC